TAAAACAAAAGGAAACGTAAAAAAGAAACCGTCAAACCCGCCATTTTGATGTTAATTACCAAACGTTGTTTTAATTGTTGCCAACTTAAATTTTTTTAAGTAACGGTTAAACTGTTTTAGTTTTCGGGGGAGGGGAATGAAAATCGATAGATTAATTTAATTTAATTTAATAATTACCTGTTTTTTCAGGTATGTTCTTATTTTAAAGATCCTCTCGTTTGTATTGGTCCAGTGGCAACAGATCAGATAACCAATCAAGTCGAACACACAGCTGGAGAAAAACGCATAACTGGAAAAATATCTACTTTTAATCACATTCATAAGTAAATTTAATCCTAATAAAATCTCATTTAAACTAATTTAGTAAAAACGCCACAAAAAGAAAATTTAGCGTTTTCAAATCAATTTAAATGTTTAAGAAGACTTTTAAAAAATTATGATAAACTATTCGAATTGAGACTTTAGTTATAAAATGGGAAACCATTTTTCTTTCATTATTATATTTTTTAAACCAAAAAAAAAATTTTTTTAAATATAAAACTTAATAAAAGGGGAAAAGGCAAAAAAAAAAAATACATAGATATATATATATAATATTTTATATATATATATATATAATATATAATATTTTATATATATATATATAGATAAATATTTTAAAAAAACTATTTTTTACCTTGCATTTATTTTTTTTATGTAATTTTTTTAATAAATATTATTATTATTAATTCCTCCTCCATGCAATGATTTTGGTGATTATATTAAAATAATTTATCAACAATTAAAAAATAATTTTCAGTTTTTTAAATTAAACTTTGTAAAACCCAAAATGTTTAAAACAACCATGAAAATAAAATAAGTTTGTTAATTAACTTCAAAAACAAAATGGCTACCAATACAAAATGTCTGATCAATACAAAAAACATTTCTTTTTTATTACTATATAATTGCATTAAAAATCACCAAAATCAAATAAAACTCTTGCAAAGATTGCATTAAACCAAAGAGTTACCCTTAATTAATAGGGGGGATGAAAAAAAATAAATTTTACAAAAATATATTAAATGTTAAAAAAAATTTGAAAATTTTTAAATTTTATCGTGAGTTAATTATAGTGTTACGTAGTATATGTTCTATTAATTAAAATTTATCGTAATAATTATTTATTAAAAAAACGACTTACATAAATATATATTTTGTCCGTTAATAATAAATAATTCAAAAAAAAAATTATCGATAACATATCATTTATTAATAATATATATATATAAACGTTATTATTATTATTATTATTACTATTATTATTTTATTACTTTTTTCAATACAAAATAAAAATAATAAATAAAAAAAAAAATTCGCGCGTTAATTTTATTAATTTAAACAAAAAAAAAATTCTCAATTTTAATAACTGTTAAAAATGATCATTGTTTTGTCACGTGATCGACGCCATATTTGAAAATAGTAATAAGAACGTTATTACTTTTTTTTTTTTATTTTTATTTTTATTATTATTAAATTGAGAATTTTTTTTTTTTTTAAACTGCGATTTTGCCTGTCAAACGTATACATATCAGTGTTGTAAACGTAACAAAAACAAAAAAATGTTTATTATATACATAAATAAATTGTAATTATAATTCTTTACAAAATAATAATAATATTGTTTTTCTTTATTAAAAAAAAAAAAAATTAATTTTTCCATCTTTTTATTTATTTATTTATTAATTAAATTTAAATCCCTTTTTATTTTTTATATATTCGAAATATAAATATTTGAACCTTTAAAGGATTTAACGGAAATTATTTTATGATGATAATAATAATAAAACAAAATGATAATTTTTAAGAGGAAGAAGAAATCGAAAAACATATTTATTCCATTATTATTCGGGAATTTATCCCCAAGGAATCGTAGAGTGAAACATGAAACAAATTCTGGGAAAACCCATCGTTAATAATAATAATAATAACAACAAATTAATTAAACGAAAAAACATTTTGCGATATGTATATATTTACCAATATATTTATCGTTTATTCTCCACGTATCGTTTGTTGTCGTGTCCGCCATCTTAAATATTTTATTCTTCTTATAAATCGAATATGAAATCAATGGAGGGTGTTTTTATTATTTTTTTAAGGATTATAAAAATAATAAAATATTTTTTATCGACTGAAAATATATAAAAAAAAATTATAAAAATTAAAAACTATTTATTTTTATTATTATTTGTTTATATATTTAAAAAAAAAAATCTTTTTTTATACAAATAAACATTTACACATTACAAAAAAATTTTTTTTTTTTCTTTTCTTTTTTCCTTTTTTTATTTATTTATTTATTTATTTATTTATATCCATTTGTACATAAAATTAACATCAGCATTTTTATTATTTTTTATTTTTTCGTTTTAGAGTTTTTACATTTAAAAAAAAAATATATAAATATACATAAAAAAATTTTTATGTATGTATGTATGTATATATTTTACGCATCATTGGCTGGCACACATGTTTTTTTTATTGTTTGTTGTTTGTCGTATATGTCATCATCATACGCTACGACAACAATCAACAACAAATAAGACAAAATTTTGAGGCAATAAAATTTTTAATATTAACAATAATAATAATAATTTCATCGTTGTTACCGTTTAGTACAAAACAGAGAGAAAAAATTTTATTAATTAATTTAATTATCAAAGGGCGGATAAATCGATTAAGGAAAAACAATGAAGGACGAAAGGGCAAAAGGTCATCACAAAAGTATTGAAAAAAAAAAAAAAACAATTTTTTTTTTTTTTATGCACACGATTAAGTTTTTAGAAAAATAATTTTTTTTTTTCATAGTTTTTTTTTTTTTAATAAAATTTTGAGCTTTTAAATTATACGAAATCACACATTTTATTATATTAATTAATTAATTAATTTATTTATTTATTTATTTTTCCGTCAAAATAATAATAATAATGATAAATTTCATATCTTAATTAATTAAATTCGAGGACGGCTAATTTTTTTTAAAATGGGGAAAATAAATGTGAAAAAATTTATTTATTTATTTTTTTTTTCGACTCTTTCCTCCTCTTTCGATTTCCCCCCCTCCCCATTTTAAAAAAAATGTCTTCAATTTTTGTTTTTATTGTTAGTTACAATTATAAAATTCCTCCCCCCCCCAAAAAAAAAAAAGTTAAATGGGGGGGGAGGAGACTAAATCGACAAAAATATCCGATAAAAAAACTTTAAAACTTTAGAACTTTTTTTTCTTTTCTCCTTTTTTTTTCCTTTTTTCCTTTTCTTTCCATTTTAAAATCTAACAAATAAACAAATTTTATACATATATATATATATATATATATATATATATATATATATATATATAACATTTATAACATTGATTAAAGTCTTCACGTGATTAAAAAACGAAAAAAAAAATTTAAAAAAAAAAAAAAAATTCAATACAAATTATTTACAACGATACAAATACAAAAAAAAACAAAAAAAAGATTAAAAAATTAAAAAAATCGAATCGATCGCAACGTAATAATAATAATAATAAATTTAAATTTATTTAAAAATAAAATGGCGGTCGAAGAATTTTTGTACGTTTATTAAAAAACCTTTTTAAACAAAAAAGTGTGTGCGCGACCTTTTCCTTTTTTTAAAATTGACATTATTATTAAATGTTTTTTTTTTTTCCGTTAAAATGTCGCTTTTATTATCATTATTATCATTATTATTATTTTTTAATAAAGATTTTTGCATTCATTTTATATATCATTCAAAGTCACGTCACAAAAATTTTAAAAATAAAAATATAACAACGATTATAGGGAAGAAAAAAAAACGATCAATAATAAAATTCACAACAAAATCGATCAAGGCACGTGTCGATGATAATAATAATAATAAGATTAATAAGAAGTAAAGAAAAAAAAAAAAAATGAAAAAGTTCGTTCATTGTAACGACCCCCCCCGCAAGTCCTGGCTCTCTTTAAAAAACCTCTACATTAACAACTAATATAATTTCCATTACAATTATCATTATCATTATTATTA